TAGACGAAAATAAAACGAGGGTCAATTAAAAGTAATCTCAAGCTATTTGATAATATAGTTAAAACTATTTCACTATAACACTGTGAATAATGGGCATTTGGAAATAATAACATACTTGAAAAGTTCATTTGAAATTTTGCAAACTTATCCTGTATGTTAAATCGTCGCCCCCCGAAAAACGGTTATTTACGTAGTGCTTGAACGATATCTTTCAAACATAGATATTAATTTCAGATTTGTATCGAACCGGATTCAAATTCTACAGATCACGGACAGTAAATTGTGTTCTATTATGTATAAATTTATATTATAACTAGCTCAGGCAAACTATTTCTGTTCTGCATGGCTTTATCATATAGAACATATTTTAAACAATTGTGGTTCTTCTTTCAAATGTTAGTCAATACATACTATGAACACAATTGGCTCAAATTTACAGGCTTACTTTGCAGAACCAATTCAAACCTTGATTTCAAATGTTGATATAAACACTAAATTGTAGAATTTATACTTTTTTGAAAACTATTTAAATTTTTAAGACATGGATATGTTCACCCTTTGCAAATTAAGAATGATAAATCATTAGCTACAATTTAAATGTGGAAGAAGATTGAACATTTCAAGAAGAAACAAACGTTGTCAACTGTGCAAAACTTAGGATATTTGAGACGAATATCACTACCCTCTTGATATTGATTTGTTGAAATGAGAGCTTGTATTGATAGGACATATATTAACCATTGTATTACTTTGAGGTCAGGGATCATGTGACTTTATTATAAAAGGTAAAAACTAAGAAATCTTTCTAAATTTACAAGAATTATTAATGAAAAGGTGGGTTTTGTTGGTTAACAACTATGAATCTGATATGTACTGGTTACCTTTAAATGTAGATTGTAATTTGTGATTTGTATTATATAACATCCTTAATCTCTCTATTTTCATTTTGTTTTCTTTGCATTGTCACCCAAACATCTTTTGTACCTTTGTCTTATTGTCTAATTGTATTTATCATGTTTTTGTTTTGTCTATTTACCATTGTTTCAACAACGGTTAAATCAGATTAAACGCAATTTAAATATTTTGCACTCATCAAGATTTGGATAAGTGTTGGAAGTTATCTTTGGTTACGCAAAGGTACCTAAATGTGTCTATGGTTATAATGTCTGAGATATAAATCTGACGTGATCTTTTCTACCAAGAGCTCATACACTCTTTTAGTTCATTTACTGTTTATAGATAATCAATCATAAAAGCTCTCAATACTTCATTCGGATGGTAAATATAACTGATTTTAGAATGCAGTGGAAAATTATATCATCATTACCGTTTTATCATAAACTAACATACAATGCCAAATGGAAATATTTTCGTATATGATATTATTTATTTTTTCGGTGCGGAAAAGAAAGGGAATTTTCATTGATACGTGCCAGAAAAAAAATCACCTTTCGGGCATGTCATTTATCTAAGCCCCTCCCCCCAAAAACAAATGGATTGAAAAGTGTATACTAGACTTAGTGTTGATGAAAATGAAATTGAAAAAAAATAGAACAATGGACTTTACGGGAACTAGTCTGGAATAAAGAGGGCAGAAGACTAAATGCCAAGAAAACATCAGAATACAGAATTTCTCTTTAATAACTTTTTTCGAAGTTTGCACAATTGTGTTATTGATACCGATTTTGTATAAAAATTTGTCTGTTTGTTTTGCTCACACATGGTAGTCAATATAATGGAATTCTATGCGACTGTCATACAAGTGAGAGGTTTGGCTAGCTTTAAAATCAGGTTTAATCAACCATTTTTTACACGAGGAAATGCCTTAATGAGGTCAGGAATATGACAGTTAGTATCCATTCGTTTGTTGTGTTTGAGCTTTTGATTTTGCCATTTGATAAAGGAATCCCCGTTTTGAATATCCTTGAAAATCGGTATTTTTGCTATTTTACTTTTAACATGTAGAAACATTTTCACACAACACAACTGGTTATCACATGGAAAATTACTCATCAAGTCTTCCAAATTTGATATTCCAATGAATAAACGTATATATGGGATAGTTATCGATCTTGTTATAAATAATACGTAATTAAGTTGAGGTACTGTCAGGTTGTCACACTTTCTGATCTTACTTCAATCAAATACCTAGCATTTTCACATTCTTTTTTTCTCAAATTCTGTCTCCTTTTACAACCACAGTTGCTGTACTACCTTTTTTTATCATTCTGCTCCCGCGCATAGTTAAGTATCTGCTTCTGAAGCCAAGTTTTAAGGGAGAGATAAATGTCATGGCCAAAGTAAGTGCATAATCACAATGTAAAATTCCTTCTGGCATCTATACTTGAAATTTTAAGTCAGCATCCACTCTCATCGCTCATTGATTTAAATGCGTACGTTTGTTTTCAGGTGACAACGTCCACATTTAGCATGATGTGCAGACAAAAGAATGTTAGTTTAGTATGAAATACTAAAGAAAAACATTTCTTGTGTCCAATAACTAGCCAGTGCATTTTAAAATTAATTAAAAAGATATCATACATTGATTTTTCAGTTATATGTGTAACGTCAATGTAGATATACACTCACTAAATATGCATGAAAAAGTATTCCTTCGAAACTTACGAATTACGTCGTAGTGTATTCGTAGTCGTCGTGCATTAGATTTCGCGTGCGTAAATACACAAAATGTTCGCTTTCCTAGGCACATACTTCAAATTAACTTAACTAATTTAAGGAATGACTGTAATATTTTTTCGGTCTATGAAGAAATAACATCAAATTTGTGGTGTACACTGTGCACCACATTTTTTATGTTATTTCGAATAGACAGAAAAAATATTAGTCATTTCTTATAATTTAAGGATGTTCGCTTGTCATGTTTTGGAATTTTTGTCAGATTTTCGGAATCCTCTGGTTTTATACATTTGAATGCCTTAAACATTTTTGCCCATTGACCCCCATTTTTCTTTTAATAAATCTTTTACATGTATAATTATAAGCCATCTGTAAAAGTCTCATAAAATCTTTGTTATTTTTTAATAATGTTTGAGAACTTAAACTTGTCAATGATAAAGCTATGAAAAATCAAGAGAGAACATTTTCCCGCCAAAATTTGAATGCTAATATCTCGAAAACAAGCACATTGACCTATATTTTTGTTTTGCTCTTTTGGTTCCTTTATTAGTCCCCTATCAATATATACTAATGTTATGAAAGCTTGTTATTTTGAAACTGAGTAGCGAACTTCCTTAATTCTAAATTTCATTTTAAACCGGAGTAAACCATGAAAAAACGTTGATGACGTCACGGTCACATGACAAAATTATGTCTATGAGCTGATAAACAAAACAACGTCAGCCAATCAGAAGACGCATTACATCCAAAAATAAATTATTTTATGATAATTTCTGCAAATTGTGGATGCTTATCATTAGAATTTTTACAAAAACAACCACGCTTTAAGTTTGGATGCATCATAATATATCCCAGCTCATTGTGGTATAGTATCGTATGCCCTTAAAATAAAATCCTTGGGAGGTAAATTAAGTAGTAGAGTGTCTGAACTTTGGTTAAAAAAGGTCACTTACGGTCAGATTAATTTTTTACATGTTTCAACAATAGTTGGGTTACAATGATTATTCTCAGATATATATCCAAACGCACCCGTTGGTCTTAAGGAATTGCCTGTTTAATTCTTGAAAATTCAAAAATACAGTTTCTCCGATCAATAAGCTTTAAATTTCATCGCAGCTAATAACATCACTATTAATTGTGCTAATTAGATATGTGCGTAAACATTTGAAAAAAGTACGAAAATTCTTAACTTTAATGTAAATTGAAAAGGGGGAGTCCATAAAAACTGTCAAACTCAACTGACAAAATTGGAATGAAAATTAACTGTCATATTCCTGAATAAGTACGGGCATTTCCCAAGGAAAATGGTGGGTTGAACCTGGTTTTATAGCTAGATACCTCCAACCTATATGGCAGTCGTTTATAGTTCCATAATTTGAGTTGTCAGTATGCGATTTTAATTTTTTAATCTCAGTGTAGATATATATAGTGCATATTTTGAACTTTTTTAAATATATGTATGTGTTTTAAACAAAAATATCAATGACTTTGTTATTCTCAATATATGTAATATATACATATATATATAAATATAATAGTCTCAGTCAGATTTTTTTAAAGTTATTTTTTAATCTGAGTGCATTTCTTTTTAAATTTCATAGTGTATTTTTTTTCTCGATTAATGGCTTTCGCATCATTCTGACGCGAACGGCTAATGAAGACAAAGTAGTTAATTTTATGCGACTGTCATACAAGTGAGAGGTTTAGCTAGCTACAAAACCAGGTTTAATCCACTATTTTCTACATAAGAACATGCTTGTACCAAGTCAGGAATATGACAGTTGTTGTTATCCATTCGTTTGATGTGTTTGAGCTTTTGATTTGCCATTTGGTAAGGAACTTTCCGTTTTGAATTTTCCTCGGAGTTCGGTATTTTTGTTATTTTATTTTTTGCTACCTAAAACGTAAAAATAAAAAAAAATGCACCGTACGACTTTATGACGACCAATCTTAAATTCAAGTAAAATCATTTTTCTAGGACTGTGCAAATTTTTAGCCGTGTAATATGAAGTGAAATAAAACTCTTTTAATTTTCGACTTTTGTCTATCCCGTCACCGCACTACTAGTTGGCATGAACATTTAATTCATTACATCAAATATATATATATATATATATATATATATATATATATATATATATTATGTATAATTTTAAAACATTTTGCAAGACAAAAAAAAAAGTTTAGTGCTCCAGTAATTCTTTTATTCATTTATTTCGTGTAAAAAGATCTTTGATATGATAAAAATAAAATATAATCTAATAATGAATGTTTACATCTTTAATTATATTTGAATTTCAGCTGTGACTGCATGCTATATTAATCACAATTGGACATTTACATTTTGCTTGAATAGAATCAAGTCTTGCGATTGGAAAAATTCCTCCGCCAGTTTATTTTTTGATACTCAGTTTTTATCATTCCATATTGGTGTAAAAGGTAGTCAAAATTTGGTTATGTTTTTACGATACGGATGTAAGTGTCCATAAAACTAAGGTTTGTCAAATAGTATATTAATATTTACCCTATATGTTTGGTCTAAATTCTATTTCAGAGTCTATCGAAAAAGAAATGAAGAGTTATGACACAAGAGCTCACGACATATATAATAAGAAAACAGAAATACCTCTGAAAAGACAAAATAAATTGCTTTTGGTGATTTTCTCATTCGAAAACTATCTTACCAAAACAAAACCATGGTGGAAATTTGCATGTCGCTAATTAATTTCAATGAATGTTATTCCAACTTCTTAGAAAACTATCTGAATGAATTGCACGAATAAACACTTAAGTCTCGTTATGAAAATTTTATGAATATCTAAGCATTAAAACACTAATTTTGAATAAAAAAAAAGACCAATCCGAATAAAAAACGGTCTCTAAAATATTGCTATTTTTCACTTTGTAAAGATTGACAACATGCTCAAAGAACTCGACAAAAACGAATGTGTTACACAAAACTTTATTTACTATTTACTTTTATTGAAATATTTTTATTGACACTTCTTCAAATCGTCTGCGACGGACGAGAACCAATCTTAGTACCTCCAATAAAACACCACTAAAGACAGCAATAAAGCATTTGTCTAATGCTGATTGTAAAATTGCTAGACGAAATTACCGAAAAGATTATCGCAAAAAAATAGAGTCGGATGACAAGAATAGTTTGGCCAAAGCAATAGAAAAAAAAAGAAAAAACTATGAACAAAACTCTAAATGAATAAAGAAAAGATTTGAGAAAACAGTTTGACGAGTTACAGAAAGGTGATCGAAAATAATATGGGAATATATTAAATAAGCAATAGCATATGAGCCAACTAGAGGCATGTCCTTATATCATATTAGTGCTTGCTTGCTAGGTAATGTAAATGAAACCAAAGTAGACAAATAACAAGTTAAAACAAAGTCCGCTTATAATCGTTAAAAAAAATAAAGCGTGCGCCAATGACAAAAACTATAAATGAATATATAAAATCAACAAATTATCAGTTTATTGATGTACTTTTTAAGTATTTAAACATAATATCTGATTCTGGAAAAAATATAGAATGGTGGATCTTTATGTTTTTGGGGATTGGGAAATAATAATATACTAGAAAAGTTCATTTGAAATTTTGCAACCTTATCCTGTATGTTAAATCGTCGTCCCAACAAAACGGTTATTTAAGTAGTGCTTGAACGATATCTTTCAAACATAGATATTAATTTCAGATTTGTATCGAACTGGATTCAAATTCTACAGATCACGGACAGTAAATTGTGTTCTATTATGTATAATGTTATATTATAACAAGTAATCCTGTGTTAGGATGCTAACACAAAAGTCGCCAAAACGGCCCCCAACCATTTTTCTGCTGTTTCCATGGTAACGGCAGCCATTTTAAAATTTCATAGTCAGATAGCACATCTACACATGACAGGTCACATTACTCACAAGTTTCATATAAATTGGACCAATTTTCAAATTTAGGGATTCGTGTTTCCATGGTTACGGTGGCCACTTCGGAAATTCCAAAGTCAAATGCCACATCTACATAAGACAGTCAACATTTGTGTAAAGTTTCATTAAGTTTAAAGCATTTTGAATTTTTTGACATTTTTGCAGTTTCCATGGTAACGGCAGCCATTTTGAAAATTCCAAAGTCGGATGGCACATCCACACATGACAGGTCACATAACTGTCAAGTTTCATAAAGATTGGACTAAATCTAAATTTTTCGCATTTTTGTTGTTTCCATGGCAACGGCGGCCATTTTGGAAATTCCATAGTCAAATTCCATATCTACATACAATCGTTAACATCTCTGTAAAATTTCATTAAATTTGAAGCATTTTAAAAAAAAATCACATTTTTGCAGTTTCCATGGTAACGGCGGCCATTTTAAAAATTCCAAAGTCGAATTACAGCTACATATGGTGCTTCCTGTAATAATCTATCATTATATAACATAAAAAATGCATAGGAATAATTCAACACTATCACATGACTAATCACATGACTATTGTTCTAGAATGTTCCATGAAAATTGACCCCCTAAAATAATGCCAAGATGACCCCGGGCTGAAATAAAAAATGTGGAATGGACACCTGGACATCGGTCTCTTGTATTACACAAAAGTTAAAGGTTCTACCAGTAGCGAATCAATAGTCGAAAAATGACCCCACCCATGTACCGGTCCCCAAATAGTGCCAAGTTGACCCCCATTTGAAATAATAAATAGTAAATGCACCCCTAGGGATACTACCCAAACATCATACCAAATATAAAGTTTCCATCATTTAAGGCTTGGAAGAAAATGGTCGAACAAATTAGGGTTAAGAATAATAATAACAATAATAATAATAATAATAACAAGTAATCCTGTGTTAGGATGCTAACACAAAAGTCGCCAAAACGGCCCCCAACCATTGTTCTGCTGTTTCCATGGTAACGGCAGCCATTTTGAAATTTCATAGTCAGATAGCACATCTAGACATGACAGGTCACATTACTTACAAGTTTCATAAAAATTGGACCAATTTTCAAATTTAGGGATTCGTGTTTCCATGGTTACGGTGGCCATTTTGGAAATTCCAAAGTCAAATGCCAATCTACATAAGACAGTCAACATTTGTGTTAAGTTTCATATAGTTTGAAGCATTTTGAATTTTTCGACATTTTTGCAGTTTCCATGGTAACGGCAGCCATTTTGAAAATTCCAAAGTCGGATGGCACATCCACACATGACAGGTCACATAACTGTCAAGTTTCATAAAGATTGGACCAAATCTAGATTTTTCGCATTTTTGTTGTTTCCATGGCAACGGCGGCCATTTTGGAAATTCCATAGTCAAATTCCAAATCTATATACACTCGTTAACATCTCTGTAAGATTTCATTAAATTTAAAGCATTTTTAAAAAAAAATCACATTTTTGCAGTTTCCATGGTAACGGCGGCCATTTTAAAAATTCCAAAGTCGAATTACAGCTACATATGGTGCTACCTGTAATAATCTCTCATTGTATAACATAAAAAGTGCATTGGGATAATTCAACACTATCACATGACTAATCACATGACTATTGTTCTAGAATGTTCCATGAAAATTGACCCCCAAAATAATGCCAAGATGACCCCGGGCTGAAATAAAAAATGTGGAATGGACACCTGGACATCGGTCTCTTGTATTACACAAAACTTAAAGGTTCTACCAGTAGCGAATCAATAGTCGAAAAATGACCCCACCCATGTTCTGGCACCTAAATAGTGCCAAGTTGACCCCCATTTGAAATAAAAAAATAGTGAATGCACCCCTAGGGATACTACCCCATTATCATACCAAATATAAAGTTTCCATCATTTAAGGATTGGAAGAAAATGGTCGGACAAATTAGGGTTAATAATAATAATAATAATAATAATAATAATAATAATAATAATAATAATAATAATAATAAGAAACGGGACAAAAACATAAAGTCCCCAAAACTCCGTTTTGGCGACTTAACTAGATTTGTAATTGCTAGCAATAACGGATGGCACCCTCGTCCCCCCATTGCCAGGGTAACGACAGCCATTTTTAAAATTCCAAAGTCAAAGAGCACATCTGCACATGCCCATTAACATTTTTGTAAATTTTCATGAAGTTTGGAGCATTTTGAATTTTTGACATCTTTGCTGTTTCCGTGGTAACGGCGGCCATTTTGAAAATTCCAAAGTCAAACTGCAACTCTTAACATGCCAGTAACCATTTATGTAAAGTTTCATTAAGTTTGGAACACTTTCATTGTTTTCGCATTTTTGCTGTTTCCATGGCAACGGCAGCCATTTTGAAAGTGCCAACCTCTAAATGCAAATCTTCACATGGTGGTTAACATTATTGTATAGTTCCATCAACTTGGGTCCATTCAATTCCAAGATCCAGACTGGACAAAAAAGTGTGGAAGAAAAATAATAATAAAAATAATAATAATAAAAAAAATAACTAGATTTGCCATTGCAAGCAATAGCGGATGGCACCCTTCCCCCATTGCCAGGCGAGCGGCAGCCATTTAGAAAATTCCAAAGTCAAAGAGTGCATCTACACATGCAAATTATCATTTTCGTAAAGTTTCATTAAGTTTGGAGCATTTTGAAATTTTGGACATGTTTGCTGTTTCCATGGTTACGGCGGCCATTTTGAAAATTCCAACTTCAAAATGCAACTCTGCCCATGCCAGTTACCATTTCTGTAAAGTTTCATCCAGTTTGCAGCATTTTGATTATTTTGAAATTTTGGACATTTTTGCTGTTTCCATGGTTACAGTGGATGATTCCAAAATTCTAAAAGCAGACATCTCATTGCCACATGTCATGTTATATATCAATAAAGTTTCATTTACTTTGGTGAAATACTCTTTAACAAATGCAGATTTTATGCATATTCCCATAGGGTCAATGTAAAACTTGCCCCCAGTTTCCATGACAACGGCGGCCATTTTGGACTGTCCAAATATTGTCTTGACATCTTAGCATAACGGGTAACATTTTCATAAAGTTTCATGCAGTTGGGTCTTATAACGAAGGAGTTAGAATTTTTTATATTTTAGCTGTTTCCATGGTAACGGCAGCCATTTTGAAAATTCCGAAGTCAAACTGCAAATCAGCACATGCCAGTTACCATTCCTGTGGAGTTTCTTCCAGTTTGGAACACTTTGATATTTTTCGCATTTTTGCTGTTTCCATGGAAACGGCGGCCATTTTTTACCATTCCATAGCAAGGTGCACAACTTTACAAAGGGGGTCCTCATTATAGTAGAGTTCCATCAACATTGGTCCATTGGATTCCAAGAACTCGCGCGGACAAAATGTGTGGAAGAAAAATAAGAAAAAAAAGAAACGTAGAATAACAGTATGTCACCCCAACTCCGTTGAGGGTGCCATAAAAAGAAACGTAGAATAACAATATGTCACCCCAACACCGTTGAGGGTGCCATAATAAGAAACAGGACAAAAACATAAAGTCCCCAAAACT